AATTTCCAAATAGCTGCCACAATAAAAAGTGACTTATGTAGCATTGTTCTTTTGTGTACATAATTTCCATTTGTTATTGCCCCTTGGTCATTGTGCCCTTCTAGGGGCAGATAAAAAACATTCTGGGATCAAAAAGGGGGTTAGGAGGGCAGATAAAACCCATTCTGGGATAGGGGAGGATATGGGTAAAAAGAAAAGGCTTTTAAAAGATGGATTTTAAGCTTTCTTTGTAATAGTTCAAACACAGGCTATAGGGACCTTAGACACATGTACATAGCATGTCTGTGTGTATACATGACAGATGCATATACTGTATGTACTTCACACAAATCACATTAAAGCTCAAAGATATTGCCCAGCAATGGAAACCAGAGCGTCTTTCTTTGGAGTAACAAATGTCTCATTTGTTCCACCGGTTTAAGGAACTTCCCAAATACAAACAAAACTTTTCTCAAATGCACTTGGTGGGAATCTTGGTGAGGCAGCATCTTTGGGCTTTGTTTAAATGATTGAGCGAGAGACCTCAGTGTTCCCTTGAATTCTTCACACGCAAACGGGAAGCGGGGCTCTGTCCATCCTGGCCACTGTGTGGTGTCTGCTCTCAACATGGTAGCTTCGCTGCTTCCTGCGCTTATTTCTCTTGCCTGGTCGGTTCATTTTTATCCTGACCATTTTATAAATGAGATAAGGTTTGCTCATTTCTGTAGACCTGTGAATGTGCAATCTAATAAAAAGAAAGAAAGAAAATGAAAAGAAAAAAAATCACTATTTTTAGAAATGTCTAAAAAAAAAATCAGTCATTAAGCCTTTAGGACAGCCTGGCAAAGGGCCAGGAGTTGGCCTGGAAAAATGAAAGACAGGTAGGTTTGGGAGTGGACGTTTTTGACGCTGCAGGGAATGAAAATGTAAATTTACCCTTTGACACTGGCTTCCGTGGCTGGTCACCACGCCTCTGAAATAAGGACCACATTAGCACAGTAGTTGTTTCTGGCCTTGAACTCCAGGGTACTCTTGTCTCAGCCCCTCAAATCCTGGGATCACAGGCACTGGGTCCCCTTGCCTGACTTACAGAATTACATTTTCGCTACACCTTTTCCACACAGCACAGCTGAACTTTCCTAGCTACCTACTGAGGAAAGAAAAATTACCTTCAAAATTGCTTCAAGACCCAGCTTGCCTTTCGGACTAATTGACTGCCGAACGTCAAGTCCTCAGGCAACTAGTACAAAACTTAGTGCACAGGCAACTAGTAAATCTCTTTTCCCAATACTTTTACTTTAAATCTTTATGTGATTTTATATTTTTGTTTTGTTTTTTAGCCAACATGCCCATCTTAATCTTTGTACAGAAGAGTTCAGTCCACATACATTTACTACGGAGTATTGACATAGGTGAGATTTTCCTCTCTTTCTTTTCTTGTCGCTGTGGACTGAATGAACAAGGTACCCTGGGGGTCTTGTTCTGAACACTCATGACCAGCTGGTAGTAGTATTCTGGGAGACTGGGGCCTTTGAGATGTTTGGCTTAGCTAGCAGAAGTGGGTTGCTGGGGTGGGCCCTGGAGGTTCTATCTGCCACTGGTTCTGGCCTGAGATGTCTGCTTCCTGATCTGCTGCGACGTGAATAAGCCACGCTGCAAGCTCTCTCTCCACGCCCCTCCTGCCGTGGTAGGCATGCGTACCCTCCAGAACAATGCACCCAGGCAAATCTCCCTTCTCTTATGTCTCTTCTGCCCAGTATTTTGTCCCAGAGACAAAAATGTAACCAATGCTCTTACCCTCCTGGGGTTTAAATTCTATTCTACTTTCTCCTCTACAGATCGTACATTGCAATCTCTAGGCCTAGTCTCTCCATGATGATCCTAACCAAATGAACAAATTATACACGTCACGCAAAAACACTTGTCTTCTGCACATTGCAGCAAACAACCCCCAAAGAACTTCCTGACTTAAGGGGAAGACTCCCGACTGGGCAGTGATTCTGTGAGTTCAGCCGAGCAAGTTTTGTGCTAAGAGTCAAATGTGGCTGCAGCTGGAGGCTGCGGAGATGCGATGACTGGAAAGCACTGGCATGCATGGCTGGCAGGAGAGGGTGGCTGCAGGCTCAGGGCCGTTCTGAAGACTTGCCAGTAGCTACGGGCTGCAAACTTTGATGGGCATGGCAGCTGAATTCTGAGAGCTGAATTCTGAGAAGCTGCAGGATTCTGTGTGCCTTAGACTTGAAGTCACAAAGTATCCCTTCTGCTACGGTCTATGGATCACACAAGCCATCACTGGCTCCATGTGAAAAGGGACAACACAAGCGCATTAACATCTGGACATATATCAAGAGCTGCGGTGCAGCCTTATGAAATATAAAAGCAATAATAGGCTAAAAGTATACAGTGGAAAAAAGAGAGCATCTTCAACAAATTGTGCTGGCAGAACTGGATGTCAACCTGTAGAAGAATGAAAATAGACCCATATCTATCACCATGCACAAAACTCAAGTCCAAATGGATTAAAGACCTCAATATCAGTCCAAACACAATGAACCTGATAGAAGAGAAAGTGGGAAGTACTCTACAACACATTGGCACAGG